CGCGCGCATTCGTAGACTGACCTAGTCCATCTGGCCAACCACTTTCAAGGCTGACTCGTAAAGGACCTCACTGTGATGACTGCCTACGCTCTCACCACTTCGAACCGGCTCTCAGTCGCGGCCGGATGTGCGCTGTTCCGACAGTCAACTTTCCTGCAGAATTGGTAGATAGTTTATCAATGAGAGTCAACTTTCCCCAACCTACTCTCTATTCCTTCAGTACAGAATAAACTGATCCTACTATTCTAGCCTCCCCGTCTTCTCCTCCTCTCCTAAGGAACCGGACCTGAAGATCGCACTGGCTAGCATTTAACCTATTAACACAACCCCCTGCGATAGCACCATCTTCCTCGTGAAGGTGGTGGTGGCTGCGTCTAGCGTCCTTGGCTGACAATCAACTCTCACATGTGGCATCCTCGAACTAGGGCTCTGTCTAACGGCCACCCCCCGGTAATCGTCCCAACCGGCGGAAGAAACCGAATGAGAGTCTCTGGTGTGTTTTCTCCCACCACGCCCAGTGTGCCCCGGGTAGCAGTCTTAGTTATCATGTTAGACGTAATAAGCGGAAGGTAAATAACTAACTGTTGTATTCTGTAGACACCGTAATAACATTAGAAGCAGTTTTTGTACGCCCATAACCCTCGCATTAATAATATTAGGAGACCTAGTAACAGTGCCAGTAGTAGAATAGCTTCCTCAAGTTTTATTCCACTACCCCCACTAATCCCGTTACTCCTAACAATATTCTTAGTAGATGCAGCACTGTTATCACCCTTAATACTACTAGTCTCCGTACTACTATTTTTTCACTTAAGCTTACTATCACAAGTATAATTACTATCGCTTGTATAACTAGTATCACTAATATTGCACTATTCATGTAACATTTAATTGGATTGTTATATTGTCTCACTGTATCTCCCTGACATTTCGTTTTTGTACTATTGTCTTTATTATCGCTTTTTGTATTATCTTTTTAAAAGTACTCTCATTATCATTCCCATTTACTGGTACTCGCAGTCTTCCATTATCATTAGAAATAGTAATAAAACTGCCATTACTTCTACTATCAGTCATGCAGACTTAGTATCATTAGTAACAATAGCGAAAGTACGCGCCGTAGCAGTAATACTATGATATATGCACCACGCAACGTGAATAAGGCAACAAGTGATAAAACATTCAATTAATTTTTGCTTACGAGCCCTACAAAGGCAGCCAAGTAAACCTGGTTGAATGTGGCCACAGAAAACGATGAACATATGGGTGTTTCGTTATCACTACTCAAGGAAAGTTGTCATGGTGTTGGGCTATGCTATGCTATTTTCGACCAAAGCGACCTTATCAAACTCTATCATCTTTCTGGTCTAGGTCCGTGGCTTGGTTGCAAAAACGATCGCAAACTGCTACTCAAACTTTACCTAGTAGTTTGGGAAGCGTTCACAGGAATATAGCAACCACACCCGTAATTGTTGACTCAAACGTGCTGGGCTCATCTGCCAACACTTCCGCACGTTTCTCTGCTTCGGACTTTGGCTGTGTCTGGGACATATCTTCGGTGCTAAAGTTCCCACGGATGCGGAAACTGGTTCGATCCCTCTCGGATCCGCCCTCAAGGTCCAGCACTACATCTTCCTTCTCTTCTGCCTCCACTTCCTTCGCTTCAGGTGGGTTTTAAAAGAAAAGTATGTAAATATTACTGTTCTTTCAGAGAAAATTATTGCAAGCAAGTGCGCCGGCAGTTATTTACACACGCATTCTACAGATAAAACCTTCAGTTAAGTTTTCTTATTTTGATGCCCAGCCGAAGCCAGCAATAGGACCTTACTTTAGACGAAGAAGTCATCTGATAATCATTTACAGCGTCTCTGTGGACATGAAAATGGTGTGGAAATAGACTGCAACTGGCTGTAGCCATTAGTGAAAGAGTCCATCGGCGATTACTCACCTTTAAGTACTTGAACGCAAACCTTGGTAAATAGCGTTAACTGTCGATTCGCTGGAGCCTGACATTTGAATTTGTGAGGAACGACTAGGTCTATCGCAGGGTTTTAAGTTAAACCCTAGCAACTGCGATTTTCAGGCCATGTTCCTTAGGAGAGGAGAAGTCATGAGGAGGCCAACGTGATAAGAAGAGTTTATCTGTACAGAAGAAATGGGAGAATAGTCAGTAGGAAATTTACTGTCAGACGACCGTACAACTGCAAGCCAGTGGACGGCACGTGAGGTTTTGTCTTTTCGACAGTCATCACATGAGGTCCTCTGTGAGTCGGCCTATGATTGGCTATTCCAGAGGCCGGAAACAGTAATCGTTCACAAATGCCCTTCGACTTGAGCTAGTCACAACAACTGCTCACAAGTGCAACTCGTGTGGAGCTAGTCACTACAGGTCCTTACAAAGTCGGAAAGTTGCTTTGTCGAGTTATTATCCTTATTATTAACTTACCCAAAATTCATAGTGAAAGGCGCACCCAGTTCTTTGATTTACTTCTCACGACAAATAACGCCGTAATTGCTCTCTGACGTAAATGTGGCAGCCTGCTTCCGCGGCCACCTACTCATGTTGCCTTCAACCCGCCTTACGTCTCCTGTCAATCGATGGTGTCCCTTAAATGCGCCGCGTGGTGTATGTGTCGTAGCCCTTGCTTGATCAAAGTCCCCCCGGAATTCAAACTGACTAAATTTGAAAGACAGAGAAAAGCCGCGACTTCAACCGGTTTGACCCAAAGGTCCAAGGGGGTGGTTTGGATGCTTGGCCGGGAAATGCAGTCGGGGTTAATGGCAGAAGGGAAGTCTCATAGGCTGAAGGATGGTCAATCAGCAAAACGAAGGTGTTAGCATACGCCTGTGACCCTAACCGTTTGCTTGTTGTACGCATTTGGCGTGCTGTCTACAGAGTATGGTTCAAAAATTCATCGTAGTGACCTAATGAGGAATCACTGAAAATGCCTGTCTGCCAAGTGACTTTTCAAGCGTATCGTGAGAATATTCGCATAGTATTTAAAATCATTGTAAAGTTTATGCCCGTTCTCATGAACTCTATAAGTGACCTAAACTCTGGTTCTCAGCACCGCTTCCATTGTGGGGAAGAGAGAGCGAGCTTTGAAATTTCTGAAGTGAAATATTAAAATATCAAATCATTTATTCAAAACGGAACTTTTCAGCTCAAGGACCCGTCAATCGTTCTCCGTTCTCCTCCTCGGCGCAAACACATGCAAATCTTTCGTCACACACAGTAGGCATCGGCGGAAATCGAGCCAGTCTCACAGGTTTGGGGCGCATTCAGAGGGAATTCTCCAAGGTTCCGCGGCCTGTTAGCGATTGGTCGGATGGTACTGGCATTGATGCGGAGCATGAAGCGGCTAAAGATGACTTCTGGGAGAAGGCAAAAGCCCTGCTGTGTGCCCATGCCGGAAGGAAACAGGAACTGGAGATCGGCTTTGAAAATGAAGAGGGTACAGGGCTGGGCCCAACTATGGAATTCTATGCTCTGCTCTCGGCAGAACTGCGGTAAGACTGGCTTGGGAGGATCTTGCAGATGCAAGGATAAATGCTTTTTCGCCTTTATTGTCTGTCGAAAGATTAATCACATTTGCCCGTGTTATTTTCTTCTTAGCGGCTGATATGCTTCAAAATCGTTGACGAACGTTCACCCGACCGCTAACGGAACTCAGCTGTCCCGCTCTGCCTCGGGTCTCGTCAATGAGTGTCAATATCCCCGACCTAGACAAGGCGCTCAATGGTTAGGACGTGCGACTCTGATTAAAGAGGTCGTGAGTTGGAGGCTCGGGTGGGACGCCACTTGGGTCTGGGTATGATTGGCTGACAACGGCTAATAAGCTAGAAATGGCCATTCCAGTCTCCGTTGTCTTTGCCGGCGTTATTATATGCTTCAAAATACCGACAGTTTACTATTGTCAGATGATGATGAATCCACGACGGATGTCGAAACGTCAGGCAAATAAAAGTACAGGATGTCCACGAAGTCTGGGTACATAGGGGATAAATACACACCTTTAGAACACAACAATTTTATTTAATTATAATGTTAAGAAATTATATTT